GGCCTGGAAAGGCCTCTGGGCCTGATGGTTTGCCCTCTGAATGGATTCATGCTGGAGCTGATTCCTTGGCGCCTTGGGTCTTTGACTTGGTCTTGAAGATGCTTCTGACGGCACAGGAGCCCATTCAGTGGAAAGGTGGGGTTCTACATATGCTGCCAAAGGTCCCTATGCCTGTGTCTGCCGAGCAGTATCGAGGCATTATGCTTTTAGGTGTCTTTGTTCGGCGTGTGCATGCACTTCTTCGTCCTCAAGTTATGGCTTGGGCGGCAAGCGATCGGCCTCCCGGACAGCTGGGTTTGTATGTCCAGACCTTCATGAGACGAGCTTATCATTGAGGAGTTCCTGCTGCGGTCATTTTTGTTGACTTGCGAGCGGCCTTTCATTCGGTTGTGAGGGAAATCGTCTTAGGCCCGAAGCTTGGAGATGCAAAAGATAGGTGCATTCTTTGGGAAACTTTGCTCCGAGAAGGCTTTGAACAGGAGATCGTGGAGAAGCTTGTGAGTGCACCAGGAATTCTTCCTGACTGCGTGATGACGAAACTTCTTCGAGAACTACATAGCCGCACTTGGGCAACTTTGAATGGTGAGGCGGTCCGTACTACTCGAGGTACGAGGCCTGGTAGCCCATTGGCTGATGCCGTGTTTCATTGCCTTATGGGTCCAGTGGTTGCTGACTTGGAGAAAACCATCAGCGCTCGGTCGCAGCAGCACCAGATGAGACAACAGTGTGATACCATTGGGGCACAGATTGTCTGGGCGGATGACTTGGCGGTGCCGTTTTTAGCTTCCTCCCATGAAGAGCTACTACGAGAGGTTGGGAACATCTTTCTTGAAGTGGAGCTCGCTTTTGAACAGAGAGGGATGACCCTCAACATGTCCAAAGGAAAGAGTCAAGCTTTGTTGACACCAGCCGGAGTGGGCGCAAAGCAACATCGAGAACAACTTCGACTTCAGCCTGGTTTGGAGCTTGACAGCTTTCGTTTGGGCCCTGGTCAACGGGCTTTGATGCTGGGGGCTCAGTACAAACATTTGGGCACTACCCTTTCAGCAGGGGGTCGGATGGGGCCTGAGATACATCGGAGGGTTGGACAGGCATGGACGGCCTTCCGATCTATGTCCCGACAGATCTTCACCAACTCTGCTTTGAAGGAAGCAACACGGCTGTTCCTCCTTGAGGCTTTGGTCTTCACAAAGCTATACTACGGGTGTGGCTCGTGGCCTCTCCTTCGTGCACAAGACATGCGACGCCTTCAAGTATGTCAAGGCAACATGCTGCGCCGCACACTCCGGCAGAATAAGGTGGAGGGGAACAAAGTCATGACAGATATGGAGATCCTGCTCAGGGCTGGCTGTGTGCCAGTTAGAGTTAGGCTCGCTCAGCGTCGCCTTCTTCTTGCAGCTCGGCTGGCGCAGCATGGTCCGCAATTTGTACTGCAGGAACTCCAATGTGAGGCAGCTGAGCTTTCAGATGGATGGCGCACCGGTCTTGATGAAGATCTACAGTGGCTGGCATCTGCTATGGATCTGAGCACATGGGGCACCAACCTTGAGACGCTCCGACCTCACTGGGCCAGGGGTCGACCGGGGTGGAAGCGAATTGTGAAGCAGGCGGGCCTGAAACATGTCATGCTTTTGCCTCGCTTGTGTGGCCGTGCCTTGGTTCGAGGGGGAGAGGAGGACACTCTTTTGGATCTCCTTTATCAAGCGCAATCTCGATGTGAACGTGGGATGCTTTTTGGGAATAGCCGGGCTCTCAGGTTGCACCGCACCCAGAAACATGCTTGGCGCAATGCTGAACATGGTCGCATCCACGGGGCAACGTGCCCTGTTTGCCTTCGCCGTTATTGGATGGTCAACAGGTTGCAACTACACCTGCGCTATGTTTCCAGGCAGGGCCGTCCAAATCGGTGTGGGGCATGGGTTCGCTTGTTTGCTCCTTTCGAAGCTGAGCGGACCGACCTCCCGGCGGACAACTTTGTGGCTCTCCCACAACCACGAGGAAGGATGCCGTTGCGCTTGCTGGACCGCACGTCCTGGGAGCGGATGAGAATGACCTCAAGTATGTCGAGCAGGAGTTTATGCAGCTTAGACACGATCTGCTGTTGAAAGGGGTTTCCTTTGCGGTTGATGAGGACAGTAAGGAAGCTCTTTTCCAGACTCTTGCTCACCAATGCTCTGAGCGTCTTACTCTGGAAGACATGCAGCACACTTGGGCTGACTATCCCGAGGGAGAATGGCTGGGAACTTTTTTCCTTTGGTGCATGCATGTTGACTTGCAGGGGGAGGACCTCGAGTGGTGGCGCCACGCGATAAGTGGTTGGGTCGATGGGTTGCGTCTCCTACATGTTCATGATCTTGCGGTACACGTTCACACCGACTTCGTGAGCTACAGGATGCTTCTCCTGAGAGGGCAGCCTATATGGGTCCCACGACCGCCGTGGATCCAATGCATTCAGGGCACTTACCTCCGCTACCGAATGTGTGGCGTGATGGGGTGCCCGTTGCTGTGCACAGTTTGTCGCTCCGTGTTTTAGGCACGTTGACGTGATTTGGGTGTGCGGCTCTAATTGAGCTTTTGTCTACGGACGGCTTTTCGCCATAGGCTTCTGCCTACAGATGGCCGGAAATGAAAATGAAAAATTTGGAATTCCAAGTTGGCTCATGCCTTTACGTGACCGCAGCGGTCAAAGCAGCCAGCCATATTGGCACGGCGTACGTGGTCGCAGCGACCGAAGTTTGTTCAAGGTTCATTGGAACCTGTCCCAACCTCAGGTGCACACACAGCGCTTACACTCAAACGAGGCAGGTCCCTAGGTGCTTCTAATGAGGTTTGGTTTCATCGGTTCTCGTCCCCTCCATTTGGTCCCCTTTCATCCCTTCCCCTTCACACACTTTTGTTTCCTCTTTTCTTTCATGTCCTCCTGTCTTCATGTCTGTTCATCTCATCCTTTTCTTCGTTTGCGTGCACATTGGTCCCGGCCTCAGTGTGTACGTGCACTTCTACATACCTTTAAACACAGGTTTTAGGTCGCCCAGGTCTTTACAATGAGGTGGGCTTCATCGGGTGTCCCTGTGCACTTGGTTCCCCTTTCATTTCAACCACACGCACCTTTGTCCCGTCTCGTCCTCCTGTCATGTCTTCATTCTTTTGTCTTGTGCGCGCACACGTGCACATTGGCCCTCACCTTAGCTTTACGCCTCCCCTCGGGGAGGCGTGTGTGTGTGTGTGTGTGTGTGCCCCTTGTAGTCACAGGGATTCGTTTGAATTGTTTTTTGTGCTTAGCAGGGGGGCAATGAACACTTTGGAAGGCATTGCCCAACGAAGACCCTTCCATCGTGTTGTGATATTCCTGAGGGACGCCTCGGGAACGTATCTGAATCTTGGGGGGTCTCTTTGCCTGAGGTGGAACCAAACTGCTATGCTGAGAAAGTGCCACCAGGACAGTCATTCTTCGCCCTACTTGCGAACATTTCTAAACCAGATGGTTAGGGCAATAAGATTTATGCTTGGAAAAGTCTGTGGGTTCTGCATTCTCCTACGTCCAGTACGAATCCTTAAGATAGATAACCCTAAACTGCATGGGCATGAGGCCAGATTGGCTTGGTTCCCTCAGATGTGATACAATTCAGGCAGAAGTCGATGAATAAGCACGTTTCAATTCAGCTTCCCTGCTTCCCAGCCATTCGGCAGAACTTCAATAAAACATGGCTTGATGTGCAAACGTTGCAACCGGTGAATCCATTGAGTCACAGACACACAAAAAGTTCTTCAGTGAAAGACATGGGACCCGGGCCAAGACCCGGTTGGAAGTTTCTCAGCGCCTCCCAGGAGACTTGCCAGTGCCGCAGCCCAAAGAGCCTGAGGTGTATGATGAAGTCTACAAGGAACAAGATTACCAGTGGTGAATGTATACTTTCTCCGCGTTTCAGTGGTGAAGCTTCAGCAAGCACCTGCTGTTTTGATTTCAGTCTTGATTCATGATTGACTGCTTGGTCAAAGTACCAACCACCACCATGTTTGGCCGAAAAGGAAGTTCTGATATAGAGGAGCTTTTGTTCTGCTTCGGCATGCACTCTCCTGGAAGATTGATGTACCATGACGCAGAACATTTGCCGCATGTGGTAGACGAATGGCTGGCGGTCTGTGAGAATCTCCGCGAGAAATGGATCTCCATGCTAAGGGTGGCAGCTGTCCAAAACCGTAGCCACTTTGGCCAAAAGGCGGCTCAGATTGTCAAATGTATCCATACGCGCATGTTGTAGCTCGGCTGAAAAAGACTTGGGGGCCTCTTTTTGGGGCAAATTGTACGTCGGCCGGGCAAGTTTCGGAGTTGCTGCAACTCCAGGTCCTTGTGCTTGCTTTGCTTCGCTTTCCGACAAGCTGCGAGTGTGGATGTCGCAGTTGGCAGTGACGGACAGGGAGAAAGCTTGCATGGATGTGACTGAGAACTTCATATCAGTGCATTTTTTGTGAAACCAGAGGCAGTCTTGACTGAGCAGTAAAGTAGCGTCGACTTGTGCCCAGATGATTCACTCTTTGCAATCCCCAAAGGAGAAGTGCGTGGACTCGTGCGGGTGCAGTCGCGAAAGGCCTGTGGTTCTGCTCGAAAGTATTGAGCAGAGGATTTGTTTGCAACTTCGAAACTGACTTGACAATTCGAGTTGCCAAGAGTTGTGTGCTGGCTCAGCGTTTACAGTAATTTGCTAACAAAGTTGGATAGATCGAACGTGCTGACCTGCTTCTTCAGGATTCCCAGATGGATGGGAAGCTCCATCTAGAAGAGGCCTTGATTTGCCCGATTGAACAGAAGTATTTCTGTTTCGATTAGCTGGATGATCGCACTGTGGTTTGCCACAAACATTGAATGCAGGACCTTTCTAGAATTCCTAGCTTTCCTTGTGGCCTTCTTGCAACAACTGGCCGAGTTTGTACATGTTCTCCAGAGTATCCTGGCGAGATGCTAGGACCCTGATGGATTCTCTTCAGCGGAGGAGATTCCAATGACCGCTGATACTTGGCCTGACGGCACATGGAACAAAGCGGATGAGCATTGCCGTGCCAAGGCATCACAAGCACCAAGTCATACCTTTTCTTCTTTTCATGTCTTTTCACACTTCAATGAATCTGATCGCTTGTTCGAAGTGGCTTTGCCAACATCTCACCAGCAAGCCAGCCTGCATAGCTCACAGTCCCCCTCCCACTCTGGGCAGGGAAAGCAGCTCTGCGACTACAAAAAGGCACGTAAGTCTACAACTGACAGCTTTTCCAAACTAATACTTATACTGCATACAAAACAGGGATGTTCCAAGCCTGGGGAGACACATTTTGTCAACAGTTGCAACGTGCCGGAATGGTTTGGAACATCCCTGTGCACTTTGTTGGTAACATTTCTTTGTTCGGTGCCACTGTCATTCTTTAGAGTCTGGTAACCTGGTATGTCAACTTCAGTTGGACAAGGAGAAAAATGGAAAACAGCTGTCGGTGTGTCTCAAAAATCGTTTGAACACTTGCACAGGTAGAACTTAGTATTGTCGAGGACAGTCATCCCAAGCATCCGAAACCGTGCAAACCAAGAATCCCAAAGTGTTAAGTTTCCTTAAACATCTAGGAGCCATCACTAGTAGGTTGGAGGCCATTGCTATTTTATATATCTAGGAAACACATCATTCGTGTCATTAGTGTGAGCACTTCTTCAAGGAAGCTCCCTCCGGCCCTCAGGCGGGGGGAGCTTCCTTGAAGAAGTGTGAGCTATCCTGAGTCCAGTTACTAGTTACTAGGAGCTTCCTGTTGCTAGTAGCTGACTCCAGTACGTAATCAAGTAGGCAGTCTCTACTTAATCAAGTAGGAGGGCAAAGCGGGCTACCATATTGCGCTCTGCCACCAGGTGTGCCCGAAGGGGCGATCTCATGCACCAGCGATCCCAGGGGGCCAAAAGCCCCTCGACGCCGCGCGATTCCGTGGGGCCAAAACCGAAAAGCACAACTAGTGTCGTCACTACTAGTGACCTTGTTACTACTAGCGTGGCACCTGTTACTACTAGTAAGGCACTTGTCACTACATGTCACTACTAGTGTCCTTGCTCCTAGTAGAGATGCCCTTTGCTCCTAGTAGCGTCCTTGCTCCTACTAGCGATGGCCTCCAAGCTAGAATGAAGACCGACCTACGACAAGCCCAAGCAAGCCTACAAGCCGCCCAACTATTCGGCTTGGTCTTTAGTTTCAGACCTAAGGGCTCAGAGGGACTTGCTTCAAGAAGGACCCTTGCTTGTGGGGGATAAGAAGGTCCAGCACCGGCCCACAAAGGTTGATAGCAAACTGGGAACCATTTCCTTTCCAAGCCAAGGTATTGGAGAGCCATTGTTTTTATATGTTTTATGCTTACTTTGCCAGACAATACAGACAGAACAGAACGTCGAAAGCATGTCCAACCGAACATGAAATCGTTTGACATCTTTCGATGCGTTCTCTCTAGGAAGTACGAGATGTGGACTCCTGTTCGAAACGCAGAAGATTCCAACAATCCAGTGGAGTGGGTGCAGGCAGGGCATGGCAGGGCATCACTTATTCTCTTGTATTGCTCGTATTTCTTAGCCCATCTCGTTTACGTAGCTTGTGTCCTCTTTACTTTCCAACAGATTTGTCTTCAAAGCTTGAAACTCATTCTTTGCTGAAATCCTTGTCAGACCGAGATTGGTTTCGCGCTTAACATTTCTAGGGGTCGATGATGGCCTAGCGATTGGTCGAGCAGGTTGGAACGAGGGAGAAGGGCGACCTTTGCTGCCTCATCTCCAGTGACTGCCATGGGCAAGTGAAGAACTTCCAAGGCTGGGGAAAGGCCCCTTGGTCGCCCACGTCAGAGTTCCTGAGGTATGCGTACCCAAAAGCACTAAAGGTGAGAACATTTTCACCTTATATATTCTGATTGCCAGGACAGCAGCCCAAACGCAGTGTTTTAGTCAGAAATCCCTTCAATGCTAAGTTAGATTAAATTCAGCTATTGAGGTGAAGAGCTTCAACGGCTTCATCTACTGCTCTCTGGACAAAGTCATCCACAGATTTTATGTTTTTTCCTTCCAGAAGGAAGATCTCCACCTGGGTGGGGCTGCGCGATTCAGACCCTGGTATTTGGCTTGCTATAGTTGTGGGTTCATACGTATCGGAATCTGTTGGGGTGCTCTGTCACACTCTCGTAAGATGTGGTCTTTTAATTCCCACAAGCTATCTCAGGCTGTGAGAATGATTTGCCGGTAAACTTGCAAGAGCTGAAGCTGACCAATCAGCACTGGAATGGATCATGGTCTGAGGTGCCGAGCTGTGATGTCTCTGTTTTGAGCGAGTCGATGCACAGAGACAAGTTAGGTTAGTAGCCGCATCATTAAACCAGATAGTACTGACAGAAGATCTCACTCACGGTGTCATTAATCAATCCAAATTGCCTTGTAACTAGGACTGTGACCCGGCCTAAAGGCAGGTCAAGGTTTAACAGCAGAGCAGCCCAACTCTTTAAGCTTCCTCTTGAGGCGGCCCTGCTTTGCGACTCGAAGGGCATGCAGCTGGCGGATTGGGCGGAGCTGTGCCCCAAAGGCCCCAGTTCATGTTGTTGAAACACTTCGGCCTTCACAGGTGTGTACCAAAACACCAGACAACCTATTCTGACAAAAGTTGTGGTTGTGGAATCGCGTGTTTTGGCAATGGCGATCCAAGCAGTGTTCTTCTTTGTGCGCTGCACAAAGGCAAGGGTAAGAACTCTGTCGTGCCACAGTTGGGCCACTTTGCTGCAGTGCGAAGACCAAAATCTCCCAAGCCTGAATGGTGTCCTGACCTGGACCTGGAGTTCCACAAGCTCCTCTCGGAGGTTTCTGCAAATTCATTGGAGTTAGGTGTCCCCTGTACCACCGTGTCATGTGTCTTAGCTGAGCAGCTCAGGAAAGGACATGTGGACGCCGGTGGTGAATTCGGGTGATGTCAACAACAGCATCCAATGGGTGCAGGCTGGGCCAAAATACGTCCAAAACGTCTCATTTTTGCTAGGAGCAAGGATGCTACTAGGGGCTCCTGGCCTTACTACTAGGAA